TATAAACTATGTCTGCTTTAGTTCCATAACATCCTTTAAATGAGTTCACAGTATTTACTAATTACTAGGTGTGCTATTGGTATTACAGAGGTAGCTTGTTCCGGTTGATTCATCGACCTAACAACCTGTTGGATGAAAAGAGGCGGTTAAGAATGGCACTTGATGTGGTAAGACCAATACATGCTTTAAATATATCTCTCTGTAAGTTGTTGACAAATACAGCTAATATATTGTTTACTAACTTGCTTCCGATGGTCTGTAGGCACGAGGTATGAATTATCTGCATAATTGCACACCAGTTATAGTCCATAGAGACCTGAAATCTCCAAATCTACTGGTTGACAAGAACTGGGTTGTGAAGGTAACACACAAGTTCCATTATATCAATGGCATTATGTGCTCTGTTTTTATTGCAAGCTATATAACTTTTTGCAATTAGGTTTGTGATTTTGGCCTATCAAGAATGAAGAACAATACCTTCCTATCATCAAGATCAACAGCTGGAACAGTAAGCTTGCATGATCCTGCATTTTATGTATAACTTTTATTTTGTGTGAGCAGTGCTTTAAACTTTAAGCCACTGCATATTTCCATCTGTGGGAGAGTATAGATGAACTTCCTTCTGCATGTTTAAATTTTGTTGAAGTGTACGAGTTCTCCAGTTCCGGAAACAGTTCTCTCCTCTCTTAATAAACGAATGCCATTGAATGGCTGGGAAGACATCAGGAAGCCAATTGCTAAAAACACACACAAGTGACCCCCTTTATTTATTTATTTTTGCGAAAAAGTGACCCCTTTTATTATACTAAAGTATTTTAGTTCAAAGTCCACAAATAGCTAGCGCCTAGCGGTGTAGTCACATAGTTCGCTAATATACTTATGCTAGCGCACGGGATTAAGTGCCTTCGAATTTTGTTTCACTTATATGAGTTATATCAGATAATTCTTGTACACTGGTGGAAAACAAAACTTGATTATGTTTTTTTTTGCGAATAAAAACTTGATTATGTTACATGTAGGCGTCTTGTTTGCATCTGGGTGGTTCAAGTGCTCTACCATACTTATTACTAAATGTGCGTGTTGGTTTGCAGGCGGAGTGGATGGCACCTGAAGTTCTACGTAATGAACCATCAGATGAGAAGTTAGTCTACTGCTTAAAACCCAGTTCATATGTATTCATATCTCACATAAATTTGTGCTTGCTGAAATGGTTGTGTATGTTGGCAGATGCGATGTCTTTAGTTACGGTGTCATACTGTGGGAACTTTGTACGCTACAGCAACCTTGGGAAGGTATGAACGCAATGCAAGTCGTTGGAGCAGTTGGGTTTCAGAGTCGCCGCCTTGATATTCCAGACAACGTCGACCCCGCCGTAGCAGAGATCATAACAAGATGCTGGCAGACGTTAGTATGCCTAATCCGCTCGGTTGCAATTTCAAAATATTGTACATTGGGCCTCCGTAATCGGCATCCGAATTCTTGTTCGGCAAATGTACAATTCCTAGTAGTCTGAATGTTCATGCCTCCTGTATTTGCTGCAGGGACCCAAGGGCGCGGCCTTCATTTGCAGAGATCATGGCTGCATTAAAACCATTACTGAAACCCTTGCCCGCGAACCAAGCGCCAAGGCAGAGAGTACAGCAAACAGACGGGTAAAAGTAAAACGAAGATGAGCAGCTGCCGAGCGTCCATACCTACAGGAATTGTTTTTTGTACAGTTACACCAAATGCGTGTGCAGAGTAAAGAGCGTGCGTGATGTTGGTCCGTTTGCTTTCCTGTAAAGATGTAAGTTCGTCCCAACAGTGGCATGAGCCATATTAAGCCCGCCTGTCATCGATCCATTTGTGAAGACCGGCGCTGTTAGACCATGTAACAGTTGAACAGCGGACTGACGTGGCGGTTGGAACAGGGGCTTTGCTCATACCATCTCTCCTCTCCTCTCCATTTCCCTCTTGTGTTTCCACCAAATGGTGGCTATATGTCATATGTGCCAACACATGTAATGTAATGCTGTCAGGTGTCAGTCAGAACCAAAAGGAAGAAAAAGATGAAAAGCTTGCTCAGTTTGTGATCTGTTCCGTTCTGGTGTTTCACTGCATACTCTCACCTGCTGCTGTGCTGCTATTTACAGGCAACAAGTACGTGCGTCGTGCCGTTAGCTGCACATCTCGACGGTCATCAGGCAGCGGCAAATGGAGCGAGAGGAACCATTGGTCTTCGCCAGTCGCCGCGATCCGCGGGCGGGGAAAAGAGGACGCGCGCTGCTTCCGCGCCCATCTCCGCTTGACCGATTCCCAGCCATGGAAACTCCCCGAGCGGCCCGCGCGATCCTCTTTCTTCTTTCCTCTTTGCGTTTCCCGCGCTAGCCGAGCTCGTTCGATCCCTCTCCGGAGCCTCCAGCAGACGCGGACGAACGTGCGCACGGGATGGCGAGCATCTTCTGGGGCGGCGCCCAGGCCGACGAGGTGGCCGACTTCGACGAGCACGACCCCACCCCCTACGGCGGCGGCTATGACATCACCCTCACCTTCGGCCGCGCCCTCCCGCCCTCCGACGAGATTTGCTACCCCATCTCCACCGCCTCCACCTCGTCGTCATCGTATGAGAGCCACGGCGCGGCCGAGCAGCACCGCAGGAGGCCGCAGGACCAGGACAGCCACGGCTCCGCGGGGTACGGGAGGAGGCCGGAGGAGTCACACGGCTCCGCTGCTGGTTACGGGCACGGGAGGAAGGCTCACGACGACGACGACGACGACGGTGGTGCGTACCGGAAGCCGAAGCCGTCCCACGGCGACGACGACCGGCCCAGCTACGGCCGCAAGAAGAACGTGAGTCCTCAGCCGAGGGTTGCATGGCCCGTCCCGGCCCCACGGAACCTTGTTTACGCTTCGGAATGCTGCGTGAGATAGGCCCACCAACGCCGTTGACTCTGTTCCCCTGCTGTATTTTTCTTCAGGACGACGACGACGACGACGAGAGGCGGTCGCGGTACAAAAAGCGCGACGACGACGACGATGATGAGAGGAAGCCGCGGTACAAGAAGCACGACGACGACGATGATGACCACGAGAGGAGGCCGCGGTACAAGAAACGTGACGACGACGACGATGATGACGATGACAGAAAGCCACGTTACAAGAAGCGCTACGACGACGACGACGATGATGATAGGAAGCCACGTTACAAGAAGCACGATGATGATGATGACGACGACGATGATAGGAAGCAGCGTCGCGGGAACAACCGCCGCCGCCACGATGACGATGACTGATTATGACATGAGTTTAAGCTGACGCTAATAAGCATAGTTGCGGCGGCTTTGCATCGATGAATTACGACATTTCACTTTTTTTCCAAGCATTTTTCATTTCGCTGTTCACTGGCCACCATGCTTCCAATCGTATGCTCGAGCTTCTCTTGGAATAAAATGTGCAGTACGTTTGACCTCTTTGTGTTCTAATATGATGATTTCCCCCCCAAGGGCTGTAGAAATGCAGACAAACAGTTATAATTATGCGACTGAAAATGCTCTAGTAGTAAAACACAACACAGATACTCGCTCGTGTCGCCCCACCCCGCGGGCGACCCGAGCGCAACCCTAGCCGCTGCTCAAGTCCCTCCCAGATCCGCCCCCTCCCTCGCCGCCGCCAGGCAAAGCCCGCGCGGCGTCGGCGGCAGCGGGGCCTTCCTTTTCTTCCCTCTCGCGAGGTCTCAGCGGTGCGGGGGGCGCTCGGCCAAGGAGAGGCGTGGGGGCGCGGTGTGCGTGGTGAGCAGGCAGTGGTGGGCGCGGCGCGCCGGTGAGCAGGCGGCGGCGCGCGCGGCG